AAATAAATGAGCTACAGAATTGGATATCAAAATTTTTTAAAGCACTGTTCACTTTTCAACCTCAGTTAAAACAATGAAAACTTTCTTAAATAATTTGAATCCAGAGAGGTATTGATACCTGAAACAAAGTTTTAGAATGACCAAATCATGAACAACCATCTCCCATAACCAGCCACATCCCATGAAGCAGAAATGGAGCAGGTAAGAATCTGGACTTGGTCCCCTGCAAAGCCTCTAATAAGCCTTAAGATGCTGTTTATGCTTATTATCAAGCTCTTATCTTTTACAAAGCTGTGAATATGATTTCTATAGTTTTGTGATTTTTTTTCTTTCTTAGTGGGACTGGGGTTTGAACTCAGGCTTCATACTTGCAAGCATTACTCTACCACTTGAACCACACCTCCATTTCATCTTGCTCCTGTTACTTTGGAGATGGTGACTCCTGACGTATTTGCCTAGGCTGGCCTCGAACTGAGATCTTCCTGATCTCACCTCCCAAGTAGCTAGAATTGCAGCTGTGAATCATGGGCACTTGGTTAGTTTTGTGACTTTTTATCATTTGAGAACTTATACCATTGTTGTTAGTTGTGAAATGTACATTTATAAATATTTATGTGTATCATCGAGAGTAAATATGAGTATGCTCCTCTTCTGCTAGAAATTTTTGACACAGATATTTTATAGAGTTCCCTGAAATTATACCATAATAAAAATACTAGTAAATTTAAGTGTTGTTATTTCATGCAGAACTGATATTTGGTGTTTCTAGCGAGGGTGAAGTTTGAACATAAAATAAATACACAATCTCCTAACATTCCAAATACATAGAAATGCAGGAATTAATGTTCTGAAACAGTGGGGAGTAAAAGAAAATGCAAACAAAACAACAAAAAATTAAGATTCTAAAAATATTGAAATAAGTCATATACATAAGTAGAAGAAAACTCTCAGCCTATACTGAAAGTCTACTGTAGGCTTGCAATGATGTTTATGTTTAAAAGTTGAGGAAAGTATGAAGCCTAGAATCTGTAATCACTGCACAGTATTTGAATGGGAACTAAAATATCAGTGACGAAAGCTGCAGTTACAGAAAATACTGTATTAATATGATACTTTGAGGGAACATCAGTATAACATGTATCAGTACAGATGGATTCAAAATGGAAACATATATGAAGAAAATTTCTGACAATTGTCTTTCCCTAGACAAACAATAGTTTTCTCTGTGTTGGGGGAAAGTATTTAATTCATTCCCTGATGTTTAGTCTCCCAGGCAGACACAAACATAAAACCCAACATTCAGCATACTACAGGATACTGCAAACATAATAAAGAATAAGAAGGCAGTAGGTACTGAAAGAGAGGGATAAGTACAAGTCTAGTCCACAAGTCTTTTTATCATAGTATTAAAAAATTACATATACAATTCACTACCCACAGAATGTTTTGACTGTACCAAAATAATACCAACAAAACAGGAAATAGAGCATTTCTATCCCCCAGAAATTTCCTTCTATGAGTCATTTCCTTCTCCAGAGTTTGTCTTTTTTTCATTTCTATCAAATGAAGATTAAGTTGGCCTGTTTTGGTACTTATATAAAAAGAATCATACATTATGATATTTGTCTGCGTAATCTGGCTGAATATAATGTTTTTATTCTTCAGTGTGTAGCAGCCTGCTCCTTCATATTACTGAGTCATATACCATTAAATGACTATGTAACACATTGTTGACACACTAATTAATGTTTATGTTATATGAACATTCATATTTGTTTTTCTGTGGACAAATCTTTCATTTACTTCTATTTAAAACCTATGAATGTAACTAGTAGGTTACATATTTGGTATATATGCACCTAATAAAAAACACCTGAAATTTCTGGCACACAGTTGTACCATTCTCCACCGGCCCCATTGATGTTTGTCATTTCAGGAACTTGTGATAACTACCAGTGAAAACTGAAAAATTTCAACATTTGCTACAGTGTGAGATATACTCAGATTTTCACCAACTTGAATAACTAAAAAAACTACTTTGATTTTTTTCCAATAATCTTAGAAGTGTGTTTTTCTAAATAAAATATTATAAGGAAAATTTGGATAACAAAAGTGTATGTGAAGTACATGTGTAACTGTTTTGCTCTAACCCCTAGAAATGAAATGTGTATGTGTTTATGTGAATTTGTGTATTCATTCACTTATTCAACAAACCCAAGATGATATAACACATTTCTAGATTTCTAGATGTAGTACACTTTATATCACTCATATGATATAAGATTATCTGTTTCTTTCAACATAAATATATATAGACCTGTGTGTATACTTATGGGTGTATATATGTATATTTCAATGTGCATATACATATGTATATATGCTGGGTGTTGAGATGGTTATTGTGATAAAGAAAAATGTAAAACAAAGAGTTGTTATGAGTATAGAACTCTTGGTCAGAATCCACACCTGGGAGAAAATACTTAAACTTTACACTATTTTCTATAATTTCATCTCTGTTCAAAGAGATAGTAAATACGGAAATTATCTCAAACATCCCACAGGGTCTTTTCCTTCTACACCAGAGACTACTGGGACAATGAACTGCAGAGACCCAATCAAGTGTACACACTCAAGTTTACAGAATCCTCAAAAGGCACGGGGATACTATGTGGAGGTAGAAACTGAATTGTTGAAGAACTCTTGATGTTCATAACTCTCAGTCATGCACACTAGTCTGGTGTTTGCTAACACAGAGGTGAGTTTAGGTGATTCCCCAAGACACATATTTTCAAGAAATGAAATTCTTTTTTTTTTTTGCAATGTGGTTGATGAGAAGTTGAATACTTCTTTTTGATTAAATGGTGCTGGGTCATCTGGGTATCAGTATGAGTTAAATGAATCTTTAGTCCTGAATTCTAACATACACAACAATCAAAATACATATATTTGGGGGAAGGAGGAAGGGAAAATCGTGGAGAACTAGGAAGTAACCCAAGACTAGAACTGAACCCTACAAGGTGTTGAAAACTTGCTGGAAAAAATTCTCTACAGAAATCCTCCCATGCAAATCTCCCATGCAGCCAAGTGACACACAGCATCCAGGTAAAGGAGTCCAGGGATAAAAATCTGGTTATCTTACAGATAGCTTTTCTCTATGTAGAGAGCACCCTTCATATATTTCTTTCTCCTCCTTAAAGTTCAATTAATAATAAAAACTTCCACTTTTGAACAATTTGCAAATTATCTTCTTCCTGTGCGATGACTTTTTAAGCTAGGTATGCTTGCTCTGCTTGTGCAACTGCTCCTCCTCAGTGCTCAGATAACAGATATAATAACAGATAGGAATTGGTTAGCACAGGATTAAAAGTAAACCTTGACTTGAACCTTGCCTCTACCACTTTTATGTTTTTGTGAAGTTAGGTGTTTTGAATCATCTTGCATCTCCAATTCCTCAGCTATAAAATCAAATCATAACTTGTACTCATAGAGCTTAGGTTTGAGTACCGGAATAACCTGCACTGAAGCCTGACTGGAGGGGATTTTATCTGTTTGTAAGCTTAGAAGGTAGAATGGTATCAGGAATGTCGAAGACAATAAATATTTGTCAAATGAAAAATAGATGTCTTAGCATATATTCTGACAATTACTTTAATAGATAACATACATTAACTGCTATGTTCCAGGCACTTCTTGGAAAACCAATTCTCATTTAGCCATTCTACATCTATAGAATATGGTACTTTCACTGTCTTTTAAGAGTTATGAAAATTGTGCAAGGAATGGGCTTGGCTTGTTCAATCCATCCAGCCAGTTAGTGCAACAAACGAGATTTCATTCAGGTAGACTCAGTGCCCATGGCTCTATAGTAAGCATGCAACAAAAGTAGACTCTCATTTTATTTATAAAGAACACACACTTAGCTACTTAACTTTCCTTACCTTGCCTATATTCTAGTATTACAAATAGTTCAACTAATAGTAAGCCTATATATATCCTTGAACTTAAAAAGGAGTTTGTATATAGAAATGTATATATGAAGAGCGGGAAGGAAGAACTGGCTTTGAGTTTGTTTGTGGTTTAATGAATGTGCATTGATTGCTTTGTGACATATTATTTATGGATAGAAGAGTCTGAGGATTTCTCTGATGACTTATCAGTTTTCATTTATAAACCAACTCTAGAGAGACAAAAATTTATACTTTTCCAAATATCCTGGCTTTTTCTCCTGGTGTTGTGGCTCGGGCTACTTTAGAGACATCCAACACAGCATTCCACATAGACCAAACTTCTAAAGGCTACTTGTTTAGTTACCTATTGTTAGCAGGGGCCTCACAGAGACTTAGTAATGAGATTTCCCTGGATTTCACTTAAGATTTAAAAGACAGTTGGATTTTTCCTATCTAAAACACAGTAATATATCTTAGTCTCTTGGAGGCTTTAGTAACTGCCACAATTTATTTTTAAAGTTAATTCAAATCTTCTGTTACAGTGGAGGCTTCATGATTTTATACTACCTTCCGAGCTTAATACACAATGGCACTTGAATTAGAGTAGGCTGAACAGCTCAAATCTAATTTGCAAACATGAAAGTAAGCTTTATCTCATGGCATGCTCTAAATCAAGATAGGATGTTATAATAATTATAAGAAAAAGAGTGATTATTGCTTGTAATTACTAAGTATTCACTATGCACAGTATACCATTTTAGCATATTGTATAAAATTCTTGTCAGCATTTTGAGCATGGTGAAATTATTAATTCCTTATAGATAGATAAAGTGGTCAATTTATGTACTGTAAAAAATGGAGGTCAAGTGAAGCCTGACAGAATAACTCAAAGAAAATTAATCACTTGTATTTCAAAGATCTCATAGAAATCACCTTTTTATTTATTTTTGCCTGCATTTGGTGTCCAAGCCCTATACTTACCTTGATTAATTTTCTGATTTAGGAAACTGCCACTGTTAAAGAGTATAGCATGTTCTCCCCTTGTCACTTATCATGTATGGAGCCAACAGCTCCAGCCTGACCCCAGGATTCTTTATCTTGAATGGCATCCCTGGGCTGGAAGCTGCACACATCTGGATCTCCCTCCCCTTCTTCTTCATGTACATCATTGCTGCTGTGGGGAACTGTGGGCTCATCCACCTTATCAGCCATGAGGAGGCTCTGCACAGGCCCATGTACTACTTCCTGGCCCTGCTCTCCTTCACTGATGTCACCTTGTGCACCACCACTGTACCCAACATGCTGTGCATATTCTGGTTCAACCGCAAGGAGATTGACTTTAATGCCTGCCTGGCACAGATGTTCTTTGTGCACACCTTCACAGCAACGGAGTCTGGCGTTCTCATGCTCATGGCTCTGGACCGCTATGTGGCCATCTGCTACCCCTTACGCTACGCCACCATCCTCACCAACCCTGTGATTGCCAAGGCTGGTCTTGCCACCTTCTTGAGGAGTGTGATGCTCATTATTCCATTCACTTTCCTCACCAAGCGTCTGCCCTATTGCCATGGAAACATCATCCCCCACACCTACTGTGACCACATGTCTGTGGCAAAGGTATCCTGTGGCAATGTCAAGGTCAATGCTATCTATGGACTTTTGGCAGCCCTTTTGATTGGGGGATTTGATATGTTTTGTATTTCTGTGTCTTACACTATGATTTTGCGGACAGTGGTGAGTTTGTCATCTGTTGAGGCTCGTCATAAGGCATTTGGCACATGTACCTCCCATTTATGTGCTATAGTCATCACATATGTTCCAGCCTTATTCACCATTTTTACTCACCGATTTGGGGAACAAAATATTCCCCATCATATTCACATCATTATTGCCAATCTCTATCTATTGTGTCCTCCCACTCTGAACCCCATTGTTTATGGAGTCAAAACCAAGCAGATCCGAGAAGGAGTCATCAAACTATTTTGTAAAGAAAAGCATGTGCTTGGAATGGAATACATTCATTAATTAATGTAAAAAAGAGAAAAGATTATATTTTAGATGATAGTTGAGTGAAAAGTTAAAAAATATACTGATCTTGCAGGACATGGTGGGTCATGCTTGAAATTCAAGCTATATATACAAATGCGGATTGTGGTCTGAGGCTGAAAACAAGACCCTGTCTGAAAAATAGTAAAGCAAAAAAAAGAAGAAATGTGAGGGGCCAGGGGGCATGCTTCAAGTGGTAGAGCAAGTCTAAGTTCAAATCTTATACTGTCAAAAACAACAAATCAAAACAAACAAAAAACTGTTCTCATTCCAGAAAACAGTATTTATTGAATAATTGCTATAATGTTGAATTCTAATTTGTAAAGGTAATTAGTAATGGAAACCAATTATATGAATAAGAAATAAGTATCCCAAATTTGAGGAATATTTTTAAAAGAATTTCATATCAGTGTGACTCCAAGGCTGATTGGAACATACATTCTCAATGTATTTTGCATGTTGAATAAATCTCAAATGGGATGTCCTTCAGAAAAATAAATATATTTACTTCTCCTATAAACACATCTTCTCAAGGGAAACTAAAAAAAATTGCTAAAGGCCTCTAAAACTTGCCTTAGTAAAATCTGTTACTTATACAATTCTTTGCATGTTTTTATGTAGCTGTTTTTTTATTATAAAAATTATGCAATGCTTGCACAGATTGCATGTATTTCCTACTATCAAGTAGATTATTAATATATTCATGTCAATTTGACCTAAATGAAAGATACATATATAATCAAAGGAATAGAGGTATGGAAAATTCAGACTTCTGCATTCCCATGTTCATTTAGCACTATTCACAATAGGCAAGAAATGGAAATAACTGAGTGTTCATCATCTGATTAATGGACAAATAAAGTGTGGAGATGGAATTCAAATGGCTGGATTGAGGATCCTTGCTTTCAATTCTCCTCTGCCAATAAGACACAAAGTAACATTTGTGTTTCTGCATTTTGAGGTGAGTGATCATGAAATAATGCTAAAAACCAACAACAGAGAGACTAGAACCTTGGACTACAGCATAGTAAGAGGGACAAAAATACACTAGCATCTGCTACCCTACTCTGTAGCTGATGAGAGATCTCCTCTTTTCAGTGGTAAGGGTGAAATAGAGATTCCCAGCAAACCCTATTCACAAACCCAAGATATGGAATCAAATTAAGAGATCACCAACAGATGACTGGATACAGAAAATATGGTCTATACACCTCATGAAGTATTCAGTCATAAGAAAGAAAGAAATCTTGCCATTTATAGCAAGAGTGTTATTGGATTTGATCACTGACATTGTGTATGGAATAACACAATGAACTCAGTCAATTTGTACAATCGATACATGTTAATAAAAAATAATTGAACCATAAAGTTTTAAAAATTGACCATATATATAATGGAATAGTTTTCATCCATGTGTAATTTATGACAGTATGCATGGTCCTGGAAATAATTATATTATGTAAAATAAGCCAGGTACAGAAAGACAAGTACCACATAATTTCACCATGTGCAGAATCTAACAAGTTGATCTCAGAGACGTTCTGAGCATAATGGTCATTACCAGAGTCTGGGGATACCAGTGGGAGGAAAGAATTGGGAAAGGTTGATCAGTGGCTACTAAGGTATAGTTAGTCAGGTGTAAGAAGATCTGGTATGTTATTACATATGAAGGTAACTAACAACACTAATAATAATTTATTGTATACTTCAAAAATTGGAAGAAGAAAAAAAGTTTTGCCACAACAAACTGATAAATATTTGAGAAGATTAATATGTTTGACTTGATTAAAATTACAGAATATATACATGTATGAAAATATTACAATGTCCATTAATATGCATGAACTTTATGTATGGACCACTTAAAAAAACAAAACAAACACACAAATTCTCAAGGGTATTGCTGAGGTATTTTTGAGAGAAACATTGAATAAATCTTAGAGAATTTATAACAGTATCCTGGTACAAAATGGAGAAGATTTACCATTGGAATCTAAATACTTGTGTTTGGCTGACACCGCCAAATTGATATACCCCTCTAGACAGGCATAAGATAGGTAAGTACTCAGAAAGAGAAATGATAAGAAGACCTCAGTCATTAGCTCTCAGAGACAGGGGGCATGGAGTGAAAGATACAGTAAAATGAAATGTAAGGAAAATGAAGAGGTAAGTGAAAAAGCATCAAAAGCCATTCACCCTGTGAAGAAGTGGGCCATTCCTCACCTTTCAGGAGAAATAAATTTTCTTTTTCCAGGTTTGTGTCTAGACTGCCACATGCACTATTCTATACTAACATTTAAGCCTTCAGTTGAAGCCTTCACATTGTACCTTTCCTACTCTTATGCTCCCATCAAGAACAAAGTGGATGCTGGAAACACCAATTATTGTTACTCTGTGAGTTATAGTATAAGCATTTAATAGTACTCTAAAGAATGAGCTGAACAGATACTTTTCTAATAAAGAAGTCCAAATGATCAATACACAGGAAAAATGTTCAACATCTTTCACTATCAGGGAAATGCAAATCAGTACTGCAGAGATTCTACCTTATTCCATTCAGAATGGCTGCCATAGAGAATAGAACTGGGCTAGGGCATGGCTACTGTGGTAGAGTGCTTGCGTAGCAAGTGCAAGGTCCTGCGTTCAAACCTTTGTACTGCCAAGAAAGAGAGAGACAGACATACAGACAGAGACAGAGAGAGACAGAGACAGAGAGTGAAGAAAGAAAGAAAGAGAAAAACAGAAAAGAAAAAGAAATTATGACAGATGCTGGTGAGGATTTAGGGGAAAGGAACTTTCATTCACTTCTGTTGGGAATGTAAACCAGCATAGCCAGTATGGAAATCAGAACTGAGTTTCCTCACAAAATTAAAAATAGTCCTCCCATAAGATCCAGTCACACAATTTTTTGGTATATACACAAAAGAATCAAAGTTAGTTTACAATAGAGATGCCTGTACACCATGTTTATTTCAGAATTATCACGATAGACATATCATGGAATCATCATAGGTTCTCATTGACTGACAAATGGATAAAGAAAATGTAGTATATATACACAAAGAATTTTTACTTAGCCATTAAGAAAAGTGAAATTTTGTCTTTTGCTGGAGAATGGATACAATCGGAGGTCACGTTCAGAAAAATAAACTAGTCCCACAAAAACAAGTATCACACATTCTCTCTCATTTCTGGAATCCAGGGAAAAACAAAGTAAAATCAAAAACAATATGAGTTCTTTTTCTTTTAAGTAAAAAAGAGGACTACCAATTTGCTGGATGGAAAAAGGGGAGAGAGTAAGAAAAATAAGAGTAATTGAGGCAGTGAATTTGATCAAAATACATTTATATGAATGTGTAGAAATATCGTGATGAAAACCCTTACTGTATATAATTTAATATATGCCAATAGCAAATAAATTAACAGCAGTAAAAAAGATGACCTACAGAATGAGATTAAATATTTGCAAACTATATATCTGATAAAGGCTTGATGTCTACAATATATAGAAAACTACTAAAACTGAACAACAAAAGATCAAATTCTAAATGAACAAAAGGCCTTGAATTTGTATTTCTTCAAAGAAGATAAACAAATGGCCAATAAGAACATGAAAAATGTTTAACATCTCTAATCATTAGAGAAATGCAGATAAGAACTGTAATGAGATATCACACCAGTTAGGATGAGTACAATCAAAGTAACAGAATATTGTATCCATAAGGATGGGAAGAAATTAGAACTTTATGCATTGTTGATAAAAATGTAAAATTATGCAGTCATCGTGAAAAATATGTGGTGGGTCCTCAAAATATTGAAGATCAAATTAGCATATGATGTAGCAATTTTAATTCTAGGATGTTATTATTACCATATGATCCTGACATACCATTTTTGTACATATAGTTGAAGGAATGTAAATCAACTTATAAGACCTGTACACCCATGTTTATAGCACTATTTACAATAACCAAGTTAAGGAACCACTCTAGGTGCCCAACAACCAATGACTGGATAAAGAAAATATGATACATATATTAGATGAAATGTTATTCAATCATAAAGAAGAATGGAATTCAGTCATTTGCAGGATTATGGATGGGATTGGAGGTCATTGTATTAAGAAAGCTCAGAAAGCTCAGAAAGACAAATATTGCATATTTCACTCACATGCAGAATCTAGACATAAAATAATTATGACACGATTGCAAAAGAGTGACAGCTTGGAATGCATCGGGGAAGTCCATTGGCTAAAGAGAGGGAAAATGGAGAGAGGGTAATGGAGGAGTGGATATTATAGAAGTATGAAATGAGTGTGTGTGTGTGTGTGTGTGTGTGTGTGAAAATAGCATGATGAAACTCATCAAAAACTGTTTAAAAAGGTGGGGTAGAAGTAAAAAGAGTTAAGAAAGAGTAATATAATTGAGGTAAATTTGAACAAAATACATTATATGCATGTCGTAAATATCACAATGAAACCACTTTGTATAATTAATTTATGGTAATAAAAATTAAATTTAAACTCAGGTTGAAATTTAACCCCCATTGTTATGTATTAAGAGGATAGAGAGTTAATTCGATTGTAGTATTTGAAAGTGGAAGCTTTGGGAAGAAATTAAGTTTAAATGAGAACATTAGGTAGGAGGGACCCTATTCCAATCACACTGTGAATTTGTAAGAGGAGAAGAAACCTCAGTTTGGTCACCCTGTTTGACCATGTGATCTCTTTTACTGCATAGGGACTGCACAGACTGCTATTCACTAACAAAAAGAACCTCACAGGAGGATTCAAAATTATGGTTAGGGTAGGGAATCAGATTTCCTGAGCTCTGTGAGTCCAGAAAACATCTCAAGATATGGGAGCTACACTAGGGTAATTCTGATTGCTTCTAGCCAAAGTAATAACTGCCAATACATGTTCAATGTAATCTCTATCAAAATTCCAGTGACATTCTGCACAGAAATAGAAAAATCTTATG